AAAAAAAAAAGAAAGAAAATTATCAGTGTTATCCAGAAACTGAGACGAATGTTGAATTGATTGGGAATTGTAGAAAAACTGGATCTAGACAAAGTACAATCTACAGATGGGCGTCCTTCTCAAGAATTTTTTGACAGTGGTACTTGACTGTAAACAATTGCCTAGTAAAACATGCTGATAATAACTTATTACTTTATTTAAACAAGTTTTCCTTTATTGAGTACTAAGCCATATGCTGGTAAATTAGACATCAGTAAGTGAGAAAGGAGTTTGAACAACAAAAACAAAATAACTTCACTAGAGTGGTCATACTATAATTGATGATTTATATCCTCACGTCTGTTTGGTTTTGACATAGTTACCTATGTCTGGCTCAGCAGATGTTTGTTGATTGATTTTATTAGTAATATATTTGAGATATTAAGTGAGACATTTTGCAAGTATGTATTTTTATTATAAAATATTTCTAGAATAGTGTTATTTCTAGGGTACATGTTGCTACTTGTTAATACCTTTATACCTCCTATCTAGGACTCCCCGTCCAGTCATTGTGGAGCCTATGGAGCAATTTGATGATGAAGATGGCTTGCCAGAGAAGCTAATGCAGAAAACTCAGCAATATCATAAGTAAGGTTTTATTAATAATAATGTTTAAGTTATTTGCTGTCAGGGTGTTTTTCGTCACATTTGTTAAATATTACTGGATAATAAAGTATTCTACTTAGTCATATAGTGGTTTATAGATTTTCCTGATGTACTTGGAATGCTAAAAATTTTTTTTGTATAGGTAAAACATCTTATTTATAAGAGCTTCTACTTTCATAGTGTATACTTAACAGAAAAATTAAATATAGGTATCAAGATACTTCCATTTAGTATACTTCATGCATATTATACCTTAAATGGTTCTCAGTGAGTGGGAATAGAATGGTCTTACTTAAGTAAGCGGGGGAGTCTTACAGATTATAGAAAAAGCCCATTTTCTGTTTTCACAGATTACCTTTTTCATTTAGTATCATAAAAATATATTTACATTAGCTGCCTGGGTATGACTATATTGCTTTTTTTTTTTTTTAATTTTTATTTGTGTGTGTGTGTGTGTGTGTGTGTGTGTGGCCAGCTCAGCCCACCAGGGGGTGGGACTGGCTGGCGTGTGGTGCTGGGGGATTGAACCACGGTCCCTGTGCTTTGTTGAGCTTGTTCTAAGTAGGTGCTTTAGACCACTGAGCCATCTCACCAGCCCCGACTATATTGCTTTTATAACCAGTCACTTGAGTGCCTTTGTGTCACATGTAGTGCGATTGAGTACGTAGTCCCAGCTAAAGTGTCAGCTATAATAGCATGTTTAAGATGGGCAGATAAGCAATCCAGAAAATCGGAGTGAGCAGCCATTGAGTTGGGGGGAACAACTACCAAGCAAGCAAGGGAGAAGGGTCAGTAATAGTAGGTTATACTTCATTTTATTTATATTTATTTACTTAGTACTGGGGATTGAACTCAGGACCCTGCACTTGCCAGGCAGACACTTATTCTACTGAGCTAAATCCCTGGCCTCTTTTTTTTTTTTTTTTTTAACCCCTTTGTGGGGGTTGAACCTTAGACTTTCACACTGGACTATATTCCCATACCTGTTTTTTTTTTTTTTTTCTTTGAGATAGGATCTCATTAAGTTGCCTGGGCTGGGTTCAATCTTGGTATTCTTGTGCTGGAGTAAGTTACAATAAAAATTTTTGACAATAAAAATAGTGCTGGCATGGTAGCACACATTTGCAATCTCAGCCCTTGGGAGGCTGAGGCAGGAGGATCACTGTGTTTGAGGTCAACCTAGGCAGCATAGTGAAGTGGTTTTTTTTTTTTTTTTTCTTTTGATTTAGTGCAGGGTCTACGGGGTCTCACTACACAGCTTCTCAAAAGCTGGTATTACAGGCACACTATCACACCCAGTCTCAATCATCGTCTCAGCATGCCCTGGGATTGGGGCCAGCATGACGGGTTGGGGATCGAACCTCCGACCCCTGTGTCTGCCTAAGCAGGCACCTTAATCTATTGAGTTATCTTGCCGGCCCTAGCATAGCATCTTTGTTTTTTTGCAGAACCGGGGACTGAACTCAGGCACTTGTACTTGCCAGGGAAGCGCTTATTCCACTGAGCCATTTCCCCGGCCTCCATAGTGTCTTAAGACAAAGCTTCAGCTACATAGTGAAACCCTGTCTCGCCATCCTCCCCAAAAAACTCTTCAGAATAGATATTTTGAATTTATATGGTATGATAGATACTGTGCTGTATACTTGAAGTATATCACAGTTAAAAGATAGTTGATGTCCTCATTGAATTTACAGTTTAGCAAGGGAAATGTTAACTAAATAGCAAGTGTGGCAAGTCAGACCTTTGTTTTTTGGCTCAGCCAGTTAACTTGGCACACAACCAATAGCTGTTTTGTTATTGAAAAATGTAAGTCTTTAATTTAGGACATATTTGATATATACATTTTAAAATCTGATATGTAAAATAACTGGGTGAAAACGTATTAGAGTGAGTAATAATACAGACTGTACCATTAGATTTTGTAGGTTTTCCATTACTTACTATGGTAATTGGGCATACTTGGGGAGTTTCTAAAGTCCAGCAGTATTGCTGTGAAGTGAATCATCTAGCCTGACAAGAACATTGGATACGATAAGTGTTGAGTAAATGTAGTTGTTTCATTATCTGTTGCTGTTATTTACCTTTTAAAGCATATATTTCTTTGTATACTTAATGTAAATTTAGGGAAAGAGAACAGCCACCACGTTTTGCTCAACCTGGAACATTTGAATTTGAGTATGCATCTCGATGGAAGGCTCTTGATGAAATGGAAAAGCAGCAACGTGAACAGGTTGATAGAAACATCAGAGAAGCCAAAGAGAAACTCGAGGCAGAAATGGAAGCAGCTAGGCATGAACACCAGTTAATGCTAATGAGACAAGGTAAAAATAGGCTTTCATACAGATGAGGTATCATTTCTTTTCATTGAGGTTCATGTGTCTGACATGTGGTACGCCTTATTTAAGAGTTTAGAGACACAGAACAAGTGTGTTAGAAATAAAATCACCCTTTTTTGAACAAACGTTAAAAAACATGTACTCATTATTGATTGATACATGTTGACTTGTAATACATGTTGAATATCAAATACAGGTTGAATATAAAAAATGGGATCATAAGTGTTTCAGGTTCAGAAGTCTTGGATTTCCGTTTTTTGGATTCAAAATGTTCACTCAAACATTTTACCTACGTGAATAGTATTGTTAGAAGTAATTCAAGTACCTTATATTTTGTCTTTAGCAGGTATGTAATTCTTCTAGCAAAAAGAACAGCAAGTGGGCAATTTTGGGTATAGTTTGTGATGTCATTAAACTGTGTATCAAGATTTTATTAACTGGAAAACATAATTAAGATGGTTATTGGCTATTAAAGATTATTGCTTTGGTAGAGAAGAATAAGAGTTATGTACCACATGGATATGGGGATTGAAAAAAGTAAATTAGTAATAGTCAAGAGTATTTTATACATTTACATCCTAACTGAATTTCTAAGAGTATATACCTAACAATCTGATACATTGCTAAATGTGTCAGAACTCATTTCTGACCTTTTCCCCCAGCCTTTTATTCCTATCATTACTTTTTTTCTGTTACTGAATTTTTCCATTAATATGACAGTTTTTTCTTAAAGCATGATCATCTGATTGCTGGGCCAGTTCTGTGTGTGTGTGCATGTGCACAAGGATATAACTCAGGCCCTTAGTATGATAGGAAATGACTCTACCACTGAGCTCTACCCTTAGCTCTGGTTTCTACTTCACTCTTTTAAGTGGTTTGTTTTTTTTTTTTTTTTTAAAGCATTTCTGTAAATAATATATCTGCCTTAAGCTTTCTCGGGAGATAACAGCACCACAGATGCCTGAGTTTCTGCAATAGCTTACTGCTGCCTGATACAGACCTCAAAAATATTTTGTGTACTGTAGCCACTTTCTTTTTTTTTTTTTTTTTGGTACCAGGAATTGAACTCAATGCCTTATGCTTGGCAGGCAGGCTTTGTGCTGCTAAGCTATATTCTCAGCCCGAGCCACTTTTTAATGAGTGTTTTTGTTAAGTTCTTTATTCTTTAAGAATGAAGTACGTTTTTGTTTTTATTTTATTCTTTTAATGTATTTAGTACAGAGTCCTTAGGGTCTCATGACACAGATCAGACTTGTGGTGATCCTCCTATTTTATTTAACCTCCCAAGTGCTGGGTTTACAGGTGCTTGCCCAGTCTCAGTTGCTATCTCAGTGTGCCCCAGGGGCAGGGCTGGCACAGCACACTGGGGATTGAACCTGGTCCTTATGTTTGCTTAAGCCGGTGCTTTAATCCACTGAGCTATCTGGCCCTTGAAGTACATTTTTTACTAAGAGACTGAGTCTCTTTATATTAGCCCCCCTTCTCCCTCCTTCAGATACGATCTCACTTTGTATCCCATAGTAGCCTCCAAATCTTGGTGATCTTCCTACCTTGACCTTTTGAGTTTTGCGATTATAAGCGTGCACTGGCATGCCAGGCTACCAGGGCACTGTTTTGTGTTATGTTTTGCGTTTTGACATAGGGCCTTGCTGAGCAGTCCAGGCTGGCCTTGACCTTTTGATTCTCCTGATTGATCCTTTTGAATACTTAGAGTACTGGTACCACCACATTCACCTTTATCTTTGTTGCCATAACTTATATAACTCAGTATTAACTCTCTCTTGTATTTTATTATTCTACTACTTGGTTTTCCTTGATTACTTAGCATGTGCTTTTCATTTCATGCCTTTGTAATGATAAAATTAAATTCTATAATTTATGAATATTTAAAAACTGAATGTATATAGAATCAAATTCTATAATTTATTTATGTTTAGAATTTGATTAAAATCAAATTCTATAATTTATCAAATTCTAGAATTTATAATTCATACATTTATGATGTCTAGGAAATAATTCCTATCTACCCAGAGAAAAGTTGAAGTAAATAGCTATATTTGACTCATTTGTCCTTTTCTTGTCAAGTTTTGTTTTCTTACCTGTTTATCTGGACTGTTACACTGTCTTAATGTTCTTTATTTTTTCTTTGATTTTTTTGGTGTTCTGAGAAAGGTTCTTGCTAGACATTGTGACCCACACCTGTAATCCCAGCACTTAGGAGGCTAACACAGGAGGATTGCCATCAGTTTGAGGGGTTTAAAAAAAAAAAGGTCTCACTGTGTCGATCAGGCTAGCCTTGGACTTACTATGTAGTTTAGCCTCAAACATGTATGGCAGTCCTATCTTATCCTCTGAAATGTTGGGATTATAGGTAAGTGCCACTGTGCCTGGCTGTTTTTACATTTTTTAAATAACTGAAAATGTTTTAGTGTCTCCTAGTATTAAGAGATTTTGTAGAGAAGTCTGAAGTAAGCTTGAATTTTCCTTACTTCTACCTTGGACTTTGCTATGTTCTCTCTTTCTGTGTTGGCATTAAAAATATGTCATATAGGTTACACTATTTCAACTTTCCTTAATTAGATAATCTCTTTTGTATCTGTAGATTGATACGTTTTTTTATAGAAAAAGTTGTTTGGTAAGAAAAAATACATTCAGTTTTTACAATAGGTACAATATAAAAATAATTTCTCACAGTCTAGCAAATCAAATGTTGTGTATTTATTTTCCAAATTATAGCATGTAATTTTATGTTCTCTCATGATGTTTGTTAGATAAACATTTAAAATATTTGGTATAGTAATAACTAATGCTGTAGGTGATGTATTCACGTATGTGGGTGCCTTTGGATTACTCTTAAAAATTTCTGAGTGTGATTTCCTGTTTCAAGGAACAAAAGCATGCCTCCAGCTGCAGTAGTCTGTTTACTGTAGGGAAATATATTCCAAGGAAGCTTGGAAACAGGGATGGTAGTTAACAAATCCTATATATGAGGTGTGACTAAAAATCATAAAGAAAATATAAATGAAAATTTACTACATTAAAAGACACAAGGGCTGGTGAGATAGCTCAGCAATCTAAGTCCTGATTAGGCAAGCACAGAGACTGGGTTTGATCCCAGCACCACATGCCACACTGGCCATGTCAGCCGGTGCAATGAGCTGGCCACGGAGGCTGGGTGTGGTGGTGCATGCCTGTAATCCCAGTGCTGGGGAGGCTGAAAACAGGAGGATCACTATGTGTCCTGGCTGCATAGTGAGACCATGAACCAAATACATTAAAAAAAAAAAAGAAAAGAAAAAGTAAAGGACAATCTTGTGTGTCCTTTACTTTTTCTTTTCTTTTTTTTTTTTTGCGGAGCCGGGTGTTGAACTCAAGCCCTTGTGCTTGCCAGGCAAGCAATCATTCAACTGAATTATTTCCCCAGCCCCACAAGATACATTTTTAATTTCATTTAAAAGATTTCCTCTTGTTTCAGGTATACTTATCCATTGTTCTTGCCATTTTCTGAAGTAGTTTTAGAAGTCCTCTTTCATGAGTCCCTTTTTAGGAAGTATGATAAAAAATATAGTGAATGCTGCTGCTGAGCATCATCTACAGGAAAGGCAAACTTGGAAAAACACTGCACTGTATCTTCTCATCCACTTTGTTTACCTGATCTAGCATATGTGTCTGTGGCTGTTCCACAAATTTCTATGGTAAAAATGACCATAGAAATATATTTTCAGTCAATTAAGGACACTGAGGCAGCCACCACAGTGCAGCTAAAGACATAGAACAGGACTTGCAGATCTGCTTTAGTATGTGACAAGAATGATGGCATAAGTGTGTTTGAAGCAATGTCTCAGTTACTGTTCTGTAGCTCACAGTTATTAGAGGTTTCAGTCCATACTCAGCTGGCTCCAAGGTAGAGTGCCACATGGTAGAGTGCAACCTTTCAAGGTGGCAGCAAAGAGCAGAGAGCAACATGGAGGAGTAACAGCAACAAGGGCAACAGAGAGCAAGTCTGTCTCCCTTAAATGGCATTCAGGTTGTTCTTCCCAGGCTGGGTATAATGCTCATACCCATAATCCCAGCACCCAGCAGCATTTACCCATAATCCCAGTGGATCATGAGTTAATCACAAACTAGAAGTTTACCCCATGATTGCATGATGCTTTGGGCAGGGGGACACCTAGAGACAAACCATAACAGGAGATTACAACCAGGATTTTCTATTACTCAGTTGTACAGTAGTCACTTGCTATTTTGCAGTTTGACTTTCACAGACCATTGTTTCACTGGTTTTCAAAACAATATTATATTATTTATTGCGGATTTTTTTTGCTGCTTTGTGGAGTTTCACAGTAACATACAGAATCCATATGTTAAAATTACGTTACGAGTTTAGAAAATGGTTAAAAACATACGAAGTGCTTTTAAAAGCATGGAAAGTGTAAGACTCTGATAAGGGTTTATAAAACCTTTTTTTAAAATTTTATTTTATTTTTTTTAACATTTATTTGTGTGTGTGTGTGTGTGTGTGTGTGTGGCGCCAGCTCAGCCCACCAGAGGGCGGGGCTGGCTGGCATGTGGTGCTGGGGAATTGAACCGCGGTCCCTGTGCTTTGCCAAGCTTGTTCCAAGTAGGTGCTTTAGACCACTGAGCCATCTCTCCAGCCCCTATAAAACCTTAAATATATATAAATACTAAAATAGATACAAGGTTGCTACTTTGCTGATTTTCACTTATCTAGGGAGTATCTGGAATCTAACCTCCACTGTGAGGGACCACTATATAGCCCTAGTCCTTTTTTTTTTTTTTTTTTTTTTTGCTTTTTTTTTTTTTTTTGGCTAGCTTAGGCTGCCTTAAGGGCAGGTCTGGTAAGACATGGGGATCTGGGGATTGAACCACAACATCCTGAGCCTGACTGCTTTGCCTAAGCAGGCACTTAAACCACTGAGCTAATGGGCAGGCCCCTGTCTTTTGGTTTTTTTTTTAAATGGTGT